GCGGGACTAGAATTCTCCATCGCCCAATGATTGGCCCAAAGTCACCCGGCTGGCTTTCCTGCCTAAGGCGGGACTAGAATTCTCCATGGCCCAATGATTGGCCCAAAGTCACCCGGCTGGCTTTCCTGCCTAAGGCGGGACTAGAATTCTCCATCGCCCAATGATTGGCCCAAAGTCACCCAGCTGGCTTTCCTGCCTAAGGCGGGACTAGAATTCTCCATCGCTCAATGATTGGCCCAGAGTCACCCAGCTGGCTTGTCTGCCTAAGGCGGGACTAGAATTCTCCATCGCCCAATGATTGGCCCGGAGTCACCCAGCTGACTTTCCTGCCTAAGGCGGGACTAGAATTCTCCATCGCCCAATGATTGGCCCAGAGTCACCCAGCTGGCTTTCCTGCCTAAGGAGGGACTAGAACTCTCTGTCTCCTGGTGACTGTCCCAAAGTCACCAGCCAGCATTCACGCCTAAGGTGGGACTAGATTTCTCCATCTCCTGGTGACCAGCCCAAAGTCACTGAGGCAGTATTGTGCCTGAGGCAAGACTAGAACTCACCGTCTCCTGGCTCCTAGGCCCGGTAACTTAACCACTAGACCAAACTGGCTCCAAACTGCTTACCGGATTGTCCACTTTGAGGGCAAACTTGATCTCGCTGTGCAATTTTTGGAGCTTCTCTTCCACTGTTGGCTCTGCAACAGGAGGAACGGTATTTTAAAAGTCTGCCCTGCCAGCCTGAACGGGATTCCCACAGCAGCTGCGTTTACTGGCGTGGTGTATCTCCTGCTCTAGGTCCAGGCAATCAAAGGGGCCCTGCCTCCTCTGCTTTTGCACCCTTGAGTAACCCCCTTGTAAGGTAGGCCAGCCTTGGGGAAAGGAAGCTCAACGGTAGAAGGAATCTTGCAATGTCCCAGAGATCTGGCAGACTGTCAAGAGGCTGAATGGAGATGATGTAACGGCAATAGCAGCAGCGCTTAGACTTCTATACCTCTCCACAGCGCTCCATAGCCTTATTTAAGCAATTTACAGAGTCAGCCTATTGCCTCCCCCCCACACCCAACAATCTGGGTCCTCATTTTACCAGCCTCAGAAGGACGGAAGGCTGAGTCAACCCTGCACTGGTCAGGATCCAACTGCTGGCAGTGGGCAGAGTTAGCCTGCAATACTGCATTCTGACCACGGAGCGGCTCGTGCTATTGGATTGCTGCACCGAGCAAGGGTGAGACTGGATGACCTTAATGGATAGTATACCAGGCTGAAAGCAACTGGCTGCAGGCAATGCTCCAATTCCCTTTCGGGGGGCCTCTGAAGCTTCCCACGAAGCACAATTTTTTCCCAACGCGAGGAAAGCGAAGACTGAAAGTATTTTGAAAAATGACATGATAGCAGCCTTCCAAAATTTTGAGGGGCTGCCACAGAGCGGAGGGAGTCAAGCTATTCTCCAAGGCCCCTGAAGGCAGGAGAAGAAGAAGCAACGGATGGAAACTGATCCAGGAGAGAAGCAGCCTGGAACTAAGGAGAAATTTCGCGACAGGGAGAACGATTAACCAGTGGAACCACCTGCCTCCAGAAGTTGTAAATCAGAGGTCTTCAAACTTGACAGATTTAAGACTTGTGGACTTCAACTCCCAGAATTCCTCCTCTCAGTCATGTTAGCTCAGGAATTCTGGGAATCCCCAAGCCTTAAACTTGCCAAGTTTGAAGACCCTTGTTGTAAATGCTCCAACACTGGAGGTTTTTAAGGAGAGACCGGACAGCCATCTGTCTGGAATGGGATAGGGTCTCCTGCTTGAGAAGGGGGTTGGACTAGAAGACCTCCAAGGTCCCTTCCGACTCTTCTTCTGTGTTTTCTGCTCTGTCAGGTGTCAGCTTAGTGTGCAAAAGGAGGAAGGTCAGCAATGAAGAGTCAGCCTGGGCCTTATGGCTGGAATCTATGAGTTATGGCTGCTGTTACGTAAAGAAGAGAAATGAAGAGGATTAGGGGATTGGTGGTTAAAACGTAGGATGAACGGTCGCTGGAATTGGATAAGTCTAGTTGAATGAAAAGAAGGACCAGGGGAGACATGATAGCAGTCTTCCAGTATCTCAGGGGCTGCCCCAAAGAAGAGGGAGTCAAGCTATTCTCCAAAGCACCCAGAAGGCAGGACAAGAAGCAGTAAGGATGGAAACTAATGAACGAGATAAGCAACCTAGAACTAAGGAGGAATTTCCTAACAGTGAGGACAATCAACCAGTGGAACTACCTGCCTCCAGAAGTTGTGGGAGCTTCATCACTGGAGGCTTTTAAGAAGAGACTGGGCGGCCATTTGTCTGAAGTGGTGTAAGGTGTCCTGCCTGAGCAGGGGATTGGACTAGATGACCCCAAAGCTCTCTTCCCACCTTGCTCTTCTGTTAAGGCCCAACCTCTGTCGACGTGGAGGCCAGGCCATCAGCTCTATGACTTATACCTTGCAAACGCCACTCCTCCCCCAGTAAGTGACGCTCAAGGCCCTCGACCCAAAGACTGTCCCCCTCCTGCTATTTATTTTATTTTTTTACCTTTTTTCTTCTCCACTTTTCTTTCCGGCAGATCAGGCTTTTTCCTGCCTCGTTCGGATTTTAGAGACCTACAGACACCAAAAAAAAAGGCCAAGATATGAAAGTATCCCAGATTTGCTCCGGCCCTCCCTGCAAGCTGTGGGGAACTGGCAGGCTCCCAGCTCTACTCTTTTGACCTTCTGGATTCAAGAGGAGATGCCCGTCCTCCTGCCGCGGGAACGGCTGCCAGCAGAACTGCCAATCAGATGCCCCACCTTGCAGGGGGCATTGAAGACACGGGTGAGGAACGGAATCCCGCGAGCTCGCCGGGCCAATCAGAACACAGCCAAGCCCCCAACCAATGAGAACACATCCCCATCCAATCAAAACCCAGCCAAGCCCCCACCCAATCAAGTCACACACCCACTAGCAGTTAAAAGGAAGCAGCTGCAAGCTCACATTACTCCGAGAAGCACAGAGCTGAAGACACAAGCCTGAAGATGACGAATGAGACTTTGTCGAAACGTCGCCTAGATACTTCCAATTTTACGTGTGAGAAAACCCGAATAACCAAAGATACACACGCACACACACGTATGTATGTATGTATATATATATATATATATATATATGTATGTATGTATGTATGTTTTCGTAGATTTTCACGGGTACAGGTATGTAGGTCTAGGTGTGTTCGGGTCTTTTCCCGTGTAAGATTAAGAGTATCTTGGCGACGTTTCGGCGAGGTCCCAGTCGCCATCCTCAGGCTGGTGCTTTCGGCTTCGTGCCGATCACATACTGCTTGCACTGGCACGAAGCACGATACAGAAGCCTGATGATGGCAGGTGAGATTCTGCCGAAATGTTGCTACAACTTTAAAAGCACAACTACAATGACGTGGGAAAATACCTGAACAAAGCTGAATACCATACATGTAAGTACCTGCAAAAACTTAAGAAAACACACACACACACACATATATATATATTTGTTTTCGTAGATTTTCACAGGTACGCTCCTCCACTACATCAAAGGCACCACAGACAAAATCAGCAAAATTCTCCACAAACACAATATCAGGACAGCCTTCGGCACTGACCAAAAAATAGCCAACATCCTAAGAAACCCCAAAGACAAGATCCAGCTAGAAAACCAAGGAGTTTATGAAATACCATGCAACAATTGCCCAGCCACATACATTGGACAAACCAACCGGAGAATAAATGAACGCATCGCAGAACACAAAAACGCAGTCAGAAGATAAGAAAATACTTCCTCCCTCTTCCAGCACCTTAAAGCCACAGGACATGAAATTAATTTCGAAGGAACCAAATAAATATCCAACACTGAACACTCCAGCAAGACAATAATCAAGGAAGCCATCGAGATAGAGAAACACCCCCATAACATGAATAGACGGGACGACACCTCCTGCCTACCAGACATCTGGAAGCTAGCCCTCACCAACAAACGAGTCCCAGCCACGAAAACCAACACCAGACCCAAAACAACACGGGACACCACCGCCAATCCCCCTCATCAGATCCAGGCCCATGCCCATCCTATAAACGGAGGACAACCGCAATCCAGAAAACAGACCATGGCTGCTTCGTCAGCTGTCGCACCCCACCGACCCCAAAACCAAACAAGATGACACACGCCAAGAACACAGACCCAGACCCCAAACTCGAAGCCAGACTAAAACCCAAAATGCTACATCACAGCCACCCGCTCAGGACATCACATCAGAAAACTCAGGAAATTACACCACAAGAACTCAAGTAGTTGCAACACAGCAAATGACCCAGGATATCACAGCAATAAATCTCGCAAGCCCATCACACAACCCATTACCCAAGCTGTTAACAACGCGAGAGGCTAATGGAAAAAAGATCACAACACCACAAACGACCCAGGAGATTACAGCACAAGATCCAGGATATCTCCACAACAAAACTCACAAGGCCATCACACAGCCCATTATACCAACATCAACTCCATCAACCAATCAAGAGGCAGCAGTGCAGCCAACCAGCCCAGCACACCAGCCCCCCCCCACCAGTATTTATAGAGAGACGGCAGCTCCGATCACACACTGCTTGCACTGGCACGAAGCCGAAAGCGCCAGCCTGAGGATGGCGAGTGGGACCTCGCTGAAACGTCGCCAAGATACTCTCAATCTTACATGGGAAAAGACCCGAACATGCCAAGACCTGTATATGTGTGTGTATGTGTGTGTGTGTGTGTGTGTGTGTGTGTGTGTGTTTTCTTAAGTTTTCGCAGGTATTTATATGTATGGTATTCAGCTTTGTTCGGGTATTTTCCCACGTCATTATAGTTGTGCTTTTAAAGTTGTACCAACGTTTCGGCAGAATCACATCTGCCATCATCAGGCTTCTGTATAGTGTTTGTCTGTCAGTCAGACTTTGACAGCCGTTTCTGTTTTAAATTTGGGGCTAGCCTACTGTAGTGCCAGAATGGTTTTTTCTTCATCCTAACTGGTTGGGAGTCTTGGTCTCTGTTTATTGGTCTTGGAGTTTGCTGTGTTCAGCTTGATTGGTGTTTCTAATAACTTCTGTTTTGTAGCATTTTTTTGTCTTGATTGGCTGGCAACATTGTGTTTCCTGTATTGGAGGCTTTTAGTGCGGCTTGGCTTCGGGTAAACGGACGGCTATCATTTGTTAGGAAGCTAGGTTTCATCTGGGTGCCTGGTTGGGGTGTGTTTGAGTTGGAGGTATCAGGGGGGATCTGTTTGTGCCCAGGTGTTTGCCTGGCTTGTGGTGTGGAGATTTTTTTTTGTTAGTGAGTGCAGGCTTCCAAATGATTGACAGTCTGGTGGAATCATCTCTTCTATTCATGCTTTCAGGTCTTTTTTCAATCTCTATGGCTTCTCTGATGATTCTGTGGCTGGGGTTTTCTATAGTGGCTAGGGTTTTGGTGCAATTGAAGTCGATGCTACGACCTGTGGCTTTCACGTGTTGGACTAGTGAGGATGTGTGTTCCAGCCTTTTGACTGCATTTTTGTGTTCCTCCAGGCGGGTACTTATTCTTCTATTGGTCTGTCCAATGTATGCGGCAGGGCACGATGCGCAGGGGACTTCATATATGCCTTGGTTTTCTAGGTCAATTTTATCTTTGGGGTTTCTAAGGACGGCTGCTATTTTCCTGTCTGTTTTGAAGGCAGTCTTGATGTGATGCCTGTGTAGTTATCTTGCTGATTTTGTCTGTAGTATCTCTTATGTAGGGCAGGACCTACGGAACAGCTTATATATATATAAAATAAATAAATGAGTTCTATTGCTACCGCATTTATATTGCTTCTAGGATTATGATTTCTGTATTCTGAGTTCTGGTTCTGGCTTCTGCTGCATGGGTATTGTATACATACATCATACTTTATATTATTATCTCTATATGTAAAAGCGAAAGACCCCTCACGCATCATCACAAAACCTCCAGAACCGTAAAGCCTACAAACTTGACATTGGGCACGTATCTTCCTCTTGGCTTCTAGGTGCTCACTAAGAAAAGATTTTTCGAAATGACCATCAGAGCATTAATATTTCCTATATTATTATTATTATTATTAACGCGCTCTGATGCTAAGGAGTTCTACTCCCCCTCCCCACCTGAAAAGAAATCTCTTCCAAATGCAAAACACAGGAGTTTCAGTTTCACAGCACCAAGCAGCTTTAGGACAGAACAGTTGAACTAAGCCACGCCCAGGCTCCTTGCTGTCTCCTCCTTGCTCACACAGCCAATACTGCTTCAGTTTCCAAACCGTCCTCAACTCTCTCACGCCCTGACAGGACGCTAGCCAGGTGAATTCCAACGGATGCTGGTAGGCAGAGGCAGAATTTTTCTCTCTCCTTATTTTCCTCCCCAAAACTTCAGCCCGAGCGCATAGTTTCGTAGCGAAGCACGGGTATCCAGCTAGTCCTTGATATTATTGTATATGAAGAAGTCCCTTCTATCAGTGAACCCTGCTGAATTAATTACTTGTGTGCTGGTTGGATTACTGCGAACTCTTAACAATCCCGCCCGTTCCCCACCATCCAGTCAGAGTCGAATAAGCGTCTTCGCTGAGAAGCGAAACGTCTTCGAAGAAAAACCAAGAAAGCCCAGTTGCCTCCTGGGACAACTCTAACCTGGATGACGGAGGATCTCCACAGAGGTGTTGAAAGTAAGCCTGCCGTGGGCACCGCCCTCACCTGTTCCGTGCCTTCTCATCCCCGTGGCCTCGTTTCTCCTTTTGGCTTGATTTCTTCAAATGGTCTGTGGATGGCTGCCTTTTCTTTTTCACCTGCGGGGTGGGAAGGAAAAACAGAAAAGACGCGGTCACCAAGCCCTACTCCACCCCCACAACTTTCCAGCCTGTAGAGAGACGGATGAATTGGATCCAAAATCCTCAGGAGCTGAGACATAGGCGGTCCTCGCCTTGCGGCAGTTCATTTAGCGACCGTTTTAACGTTACAAGCAAAAAATAAGGGACTCGGGACCGTTTTTCACACTGATGACGGTTTGCAGTGGTCGCGCGATCGGAATTGGCATGCTTGGCAAACCGGTCCATACGCACAAGGGCTGCATAAAAGGTGGGATTGCCGCTTGCGTCCGTCTGATGAGCAAACACCAGGGGGAATCCAGATTCACTTAACCACCGTGTGACTCACTTAACAACTGCAGGGATTCACTGAACAACGGTGTCAAGAAAAGGTTGTAAAATGGGGCAAACTCACTGAAAGTGGTTTTCATTCCTAAGGCGGGACTAGAACTCTCAGGCTCCTAGTGATTGGCCCAAAGTCACCCAGATGGTTTTCATTCCTAAGGTG